CAGTGCACAGTTCAAAAACCTGCCTCTCTGATGGTATGAGGGTCCATTAGTGACAAAGACAGTGTCATGGTCTATTGTTTCTATGCCTTGGTTTTTCTGGTGTTTATTTGTTTCCCTGTGTTCTCTGCCCTGCTCACGCTCACCTGTTTCCTCTTGTGTCTCCTCCAGGTGTTTTTCGTTGTCCCTCAGTAGTTGTTCTATTTATTCTGTGTCCTGTCTCCAGGTTTGTCCCATCATTGTGCTGCGTTCTCCCAGCCTGTGTGGTGTTGTCATGTTTTTTTCTCCTGAGCGTTCTTGTGAGTTTTTTGCTGCCTCGCCAGCCATCCTCTGTTTAAAAAACCTTTTGCATTTTGGATTTTGCCTTCACTCTGAGTCATACTGCCACACACCTTACAGCCTACACATCAGACAAAATCACCATCAGTGCAGGCTTAAAACGTGTGTTCTTGTCCGTCAAAAAGTCTGATAAAGAAGACGAGGAACTGCTAGAACCGTCTGACAAGAATKGGACAAAATTCCCTAAAAAAACAAAACCTCCAGCTGCTCTCCTCAGATGTTTGCAGACTGTTAGTAAAAGAAGACAAAGAGTTTCAGAGAGATAAGTATTGCTCTGCCTCAAATTCAAAACTGCCTTTTTTTGTTTCCAAAATGGTTCAATTACTTAGTTTCAACATTTGCTATTGCTTCTCATTACCAGTAATGGTAAGAGAAACACTGCAGAGTACATAACAGACCAAGTAATATTGTCTTTTACATTTTTAMTTTTGCATTAAATCATAAATTTTACATTTAAAAATGATTTTAAAACAATTTTTCTATTAAATTACGTAAAATATGTAAACTTTTTTTGAAGGGATGGGTTGCCTCATTGGCTGCCACACAGAAGTCACCCACAGACCTGATGTGGCCAGTTGAAAAGCTCTGTTCTAGAGTTTCTGGGAGGCAGAGCTTTCACTTATCAAGCTCCTCTCTTGTGAACCAACTTCCAGTTTCTGTCCATGAGGCTGACACTCTGTCTACTTTTAAGACTAGGCTTGAGACTTTCCTTTTTGATAAATCCTACAGTTAAGCTTCGGTTTCCTGAGTTATTCCTTAGCTATGCAGCTGCTGGCTTAGACTGCTGGAGGACAAACTGGCCACATTTCCTCACTCTACTGTTGTTTTTATTGACTCTTTTTGACATGTTTGTAATTATTTCTATCAATATTTTCCTTGTCTCTCTGCCAGAGGAAAATACTTGAACCTGCCCTTTTGTGTTTTTCTGTCTTTTTCCCGTCCCCTAACCCCAGCAACTCTGGTATCCTGCGGGAGGCCAGCTGCTTGCATGTGGCGAGGTGTTGCTGCGTTATGGCCCTGGACACTTTAGCATCCTTCACAGAGATCTGGTGCACGACCACTTCCCTGCTCAGGTCACGGAGGCAGCTCTTCAGGGCTCTGGCCACACCAGCCTGCTGGCTCCTTGTTAGACTACAGGGGTCCGGTGGTGTTTCCATGAAGTATTGCATGAACTGATGGACGTTTTTGAGGTACACGTTGACCGTAGTGACAGACTTGTTCGCTTTAGCCAGCTCCGCGAGCCACCTCTYTATGCGTTCCACGTCGTCCAAGAAGAGCCAGTTTTCTTTGTGCCGGTCTCCCTCAGACATGTAACCCAAGAACACGTGGACCCTGTTAGCTTTGGACACAGCGTTCTGGTACTGTTTGTTGTTTGGATGTCCACCCATGTGGAACCTCCTGAAGCCCCGCAGAAAGCAGACCACCGTTCCTGGCAAAGGAAGCAGCTGGGAAGGGAGCGTTCCGTCCGGGGGTGTGGTCGTACCTGGGTGCTCCAGGGCGCCTCCGTCTTCCTGGTCCTCACCTTCCATGCTGGGTTCCAGCCCGGAGTCACCAGCCTGCTGTTCCCCACCGGGCTGCACCAAGACGGCCTGCCTTTCCCCACCGGGCTCCTCCATGTGGAGGTCCGAGACCACCGGCGGGCTGACTTGTTTTACCCTGAGCTCTCTAATCATGTGAAGAGTGCATTTTCGCCTCACCAGATGCAGCTGAGCCCGTCTCTCCTCCTCGGTCAGCTCCACGTGGCCCCACAGGATGTGTCTGTCCAGTCGTCCTTTCCTGTAGCTGCACCCGTCCACGGGGCAGGCATGGTTCCTCACATTTACTCTCCCGAAGGCTAAATTCAAAAGCAGCTTCCTTTTGTGCAGGTTATTTTACACCGTGTCCCCGCCTGAGGTGGCTTGACATCGCTTTAAACCGTCCGTCACAGAGCGGACACCGAGGAGCTGCTGCACGTGTCATCTGCACAAACACATTAAATCAGGAGAAACAAATCAGTAAGAACCAGACACAAGACCCATATCAAGTTTTCTTAACACACTCACCTTCTCACAACCTGTCCCCAGAGTGATTCTACTGGGAGTAAGAACCGATTTATATAGAGGCAGAAGCTGATTGGGAACAGCTGCAGCCAGTTTACACTCAGCTCTGCTCACTGGGCCAAATGCCGAAAAAAAAAAAACCCTAACCCCAGCTGGTCGAGGCAGATGGCTGCCTGTCCTGAGCCTGGTTCTGCTGGAGGTTTCTTCCTGTTAAAATAAAAAAATTCCTTTCAACTGTCACCAATGTGCTGCTCAGGATGGGAGACTGTGACAAAGTGATTCAATGCAATCTACTGTGCCCTGAGACATTTGTTGCGACTTGGTGCTATATAAATAAACTGAGTTAACTTAAACAATTAAAAATGCATCTTTATATCATTTATTACCATGACTGCCTCAAACAAAAATATAAGTTGTTTTTATTTCTTTATTTTAGGTTTACAGCAAAGATCCAATCATTCGTTTATTAACACTTTCTGTCCTGCGCTACAGAACAGATTTGCTGAAGAACAAGCAGTAACTGTACAGTAATAATACTTAAACTGTATAAACACTGTATAAACCTGCATGTTTGTGCCATGTTGACATGTAGAATCATGAAAAAATTTGGGACTAATTTGCTGCAGATGTTGTTCAAACTGTTCTGTAGAAAGATAAACAGAGTTTAAATCTGACTGACCACCCAGGTGGATTACTGAAATTTGTGTTACATCTGATGTTGGCCTCTCTGACTGATGAAGTAAACAGATAAACAGAGAGATGAGTCTGTTTGACTTGATTSAAGGAGACAGAAAGTAAAAGTGTGTAAAAGTATCAACATTACTACACATTAATTCAGAGAGCTGTTCCTCCGCATCAAGGGTTTTGTTTTTCAAGGTCTTGATAAGATGAGCAGACAGCTGAGAACAGCATGAGCTCATCGACGGAGCAACGCTATTCACACCTGCCACGGGCMTTTGCTTTCAATTCTTCACACAGTGATGGCAACTTAGCATGAAGGCACAAGGTTCAGCTCMAATGCTTGAAAATGAAAATAGACCCCTTTTCACCCTCTGATGACTTTGATGCAACAGTTACTTCATCTTCACAGTGTCAGGTCACTACAAACTTCCAGTCTTTAAWAAAAGAAAACAAAAATAATAGTCTGTCAGCAACAACTTATGAATAACAGGAGTAATCACAAGGAGAATCATTTTAAGGCATGAAGTACAACAATGCTAAACTGACTGAAGATGCAGTGACAACTAGAAGCTGATGAGTGGAAACACCTGGCATAATGACAACTAGGGAGAGGTGAAAGTGGACGGGACCAGAGCTGAAGGAGCAGAACTGGCTGATGGCACAGAAAGAACTGAATCAAACTCAAGAATCACAAAACAAAGAACACAAACATGAACACAAAAGGTGAGTAATTCTAACAATTAAAACATGTAACTCTCTTCACCTTTATTTTAATCTACTCAGTTTTATGTTGAACCTGATCAGGTTGCTACAAATAATAGTAATGTTTCTACTAACAYTGCAGTGCTTCCACTTTTTGTGACTTACTTTGCTGTGGGATTAGCTTCTCTGTTGGACTGGCCTCTTTTGTCCTTTGTCCTGTTTCACTCTTGACTGCTTCTTATGTTTTTAGTCATTTTAATTYGTTGGACTTTAATTGCCTTCTTCCTCACCTCAGATCCATATGTGACACGGTGTTGCCCTTCAATTACATTTTTCTTTTACTTCTACATCAAGAATATTATCACAATTAGAAATATTGAACTGATACTGTATCATATCATACCTACAGATAAGATAAACAGTGAAGGAGGCTAAAGGAAAAAATAAGCAGGTCCTCTGGATGGGTTCTACAATGAAACTTTCAAAAGAATGAGCCAGCACAGACGAGCAACATCATCAGGCCAGGACTCTGCAGTTTACTCTCATCTACAGACCAGGACTCTGCAGTTTA